TTTTTTTTTTTTGTCTGTCAGTGTTAATGTTCAGTGTGGTGAAAAAAAAAGTAGTAGATAGTATTTTTAAATGTTTCATTGTAGAATGGTTGATATTTCTGTAGTCATTCTATGCTTCTTGAGTTAGGTTTGTTCTAAGCACTGCTTCAATAAATGGTGGTCAAATCCACGAATGTTTTACTCCCTCTTCCCCTTTCACTTTCCCCTGTTCCTGCTTCAGGTATGGCCATTTTTCAGGCATAAATCGCAAAGTTCAGTTGACATATCTTCCTCATGGTTGCCCAAAGACTTCCAGTGAAGAGGAAGGTATTGTATTACTTTGCACCTAATCACTTAATACCATGTGTATTTAAATAGTCATGGACTAGTGGTATAACATGTCTTGATGTTAAGAAGAAGGAATATGTTGTTCTGAATGAATGTTTGTATTGTTGGCAGATACTCAGTGTCTCTTAATCTGCTAAATCGTACACCTAAAACTATGTAGTAAATTTATATTTTAACACTGTTCTCTTGTAACAGAAAAGTAGGGTGAAAAGAAGCTTCAGTGATTCACCAGAAACTGTTTTGGGACCAGGATGGGAAAATCCCACTCAACATTTACTGCTGTCTTGAAAACTTTTATAAGCTTTTCTGGTCCTTGACCCATGGTTATTGGCTGAAATAACTGTGGGGTATTTAGCATCCAATTTGTTTTAATTTTTCTGTTTCAATTTACTTTTTGCTTCAGATTTGATGCTAAATATTTTTCACTTATGTTTTCTCTGTGATTTTAACTACTTCAGGTTTCTCTGTTTAATTGCCCATTTAGTTCTCCAGTTCAATATTTTCTTAATGTTACAACACTACTAAACATTTATAATGTTGCAGAGATCCTTTACTGAAGCCCTGCACAGTCCAAATATTTTTGTTCATTTGCAAAAAAAAAGAAACCCAATAGATTTAGAATATGCTTCACTACTAAACTTCTCTCTCTGTGTACAATTAGATAATAGAAGAAATGAGCCATCCCTGCTTCTGGTTCTAAAATGGGGAGGAGAATTGACCCCTGCAGGCAGGGTTCAAGCAGAGGAACTTGGAAGGGCTTTCAGGTGTATGTATCCAGGTGGACAAGGTAAAAAAAAATATATAATAATTTTAAAAAAGCGCGTTGAATGGCATAAAACACTTTTGAAGGTAGTCAAGTGCAAAATGAGAGTTTGAGCAAAATGTTTGTTTGGTAGGAGATTATGCTGGATTTCCTGGATGTGGTTTACTTAGATTACATAGCACTTACCGACATGATCTCAAAATCTACGCTTCTGATGAGGGACGAGTTCAGATGACTGCAGCAGCTTTTGCAAAGGTACACTGTGAAATTGTATTTTCAATTTTTAAAATTCTGATGATCTCAAGTTTGTTTTTTTCTGTTGACAGCTGGGAGAGATTTATGGTTTATTAGAGTCCAAAGTGTATAATGAGGCTGTGTTTTAAAAGAAATGTATTTTCAAAGAGTATTTAGTTCGATATGAAAAAGCATCCAATTAATGTGCCAAGCATTTTAAGTTCTTTGAGCAGATGCAGACAGATTTTAATTGTACAGCCCTAGCAATATAACTTAATGTTTTCCAGTAACAACCTCCAAAATCATAGAATCATAGAATGATTTGGGTTGGAAGGGACCTTAAAGATCACCTAGTTCCAGCCCCCCTGCCATGGGCAGGGACACCTTCCACTCGACCAGGTTGCTCAAAACCCCAAGCAAGCTGGCCTTGAACACTTCCAGGGAGGGGGCATCCACAGCCTCTCTGGGCAACCTGTTCCAGGGTCTCACCAACATCGGAGTAAGGAGTTTCTTCCTGATATCTAAGCTAAATCTACCCTCTTTCAGTGAAAACCCTTACCCCTTGTTCTATCACTACACTCTCTCTGATAAAAAGTCCCTACCCATCTTTTCTGTATGCCCCCTTTAAGTACTGGAAGGCTGCTATAAGGTATCTCCAGAGCCTTCTCTTCTCCAGGCTGAACAGCCCCAACTCTCTCAGCCTACCCTCACAGGGGAGGTGCTCCAGCCCCCGATCATCTTCGTAGCCCTCCTCTGGACCCCCTCCAGCAGGTCTGTGTCTTTCTTGTGCGGAGGGCACCAGACCTGGATGCAGTACTCCAGGTGGGGTCTCCCAAGAGCATAGAAGAGGGGGAGAATTGCCTCCCTCGACCTGCTGGCCACACTTCTTTTAATGCAGCCCAGGATGTGATTGGCAACATTTTTAGTTTGCACCTTGCTTATCTGTTTAGTGCTTACTTTCCTCAAATTTTGCCAGATTTCTGTGACAGATGGTGTGTGTGTGTTGGTTAAAGCACAGACATTAGAACTGATTTGAGATAATGTATTTATTTTACATGAGCAAAAACCGCAAGTTTCAGTTACTTCAGTGATTTGAACCAGAAGATTTGGGGTTCAAAAGGCAACACTTTTCATTGAAACCGTCTTTCTTTCAATGGTTTGTAAATTTATAGAGGAAATTAGAGAGTTTGAACCTATTAGAAATGTGGAATTAATAAGCAACTTCGCATATATTTTAGTGGGAAATTGTACAGACTATATAGTCATGCTTTTTTGGGAATTAATAGAAGAGCTTTCTTAAAGTTTTTACAGGAGACTTTTTACTTTGGGCCTGTCAAAATGGATACCTAATAAGTAAGACATGGTAGCAGTACTACATCTTGGCACTTAATAGAAATCCTTTTTTTACATGTATTTTTTGATGTGAAATTATAAAAATTTTGTAGTGATGTTTAAAAAGCGTGAACTTTTTTTTTCATTACAAACATGAATTTATAGGAACTATTCATATAAAAGACAGAATTCAGAACATCCTACATCTACAATGCTTGCCAAAGTATTCTTTTACTTAGCTTCTTGCTAGGCAAATTCCTGTTTTGCTCCTCCTCCCAAGTAGCCCTTTGCATGCATAATACTTCTACTTGTTAATAATTTATTCACTTACTTCCTCATTTCAGTGATCTTTTAATTGTGTAAGAGGACACAGACAGTGCAAGTGTTACATAAATACTTTTTAGGTGAATGAGTTTCAGTAATAATAGAGTGATAGGGAGGTTTAGGTTTCACGGGGCCTTTGTAGGTCATGTAGTTCAACTCCACACAGCACAGAGCCAGTTTGGATGAGGTTACTCAGAATCATATCCATCCAAGTTCTGAGTATCTCCAGGAGTGGAGACTCCACAGCCTCTCCAGGTTTTTAATTCTATCCATCGTGTTTAGGTTGTGTCTCTGTTCCTCCCAAGCAGCCCTTCCCTGCTTCCACCTTCTGTATGTTCCTTTTTCGTCCATGCTGACCTTCTGCATGATTTTCCATATGTCAGAGTGGACTGCTCTTTTGCTTTGAGGAGGTTGTCTCTGGAGATCATCCAGCTGTCCTGGGCACCTTTGTCCTTCAGGACGCTCCTCCATAGGATTCCATGAACAAGCTAAAGTCTGCTCATTTGAAGTCCAGGGCTCTAATGCTGTTATTTGTCTTGTTCACTTCTACACGGATCTGTCATAATATCAGCTTTCAATTATCAAGGCTGCCATTGACCTCCACATTCCTGACACTTCTGAGTAACAGGTCCAGAAGAATGCCTCTGCTTAATAGTTCATCAGTAACCTGTGTCAAAGAATTGTCCTTGGTGTTTTCCAGATATCTGGATTGCTTGTCCCTTGCAATATTGCCCACGCATGAGGTACCCAGGTCTAAGGGAACCTATGGAAAACAGGGCCTGCAATCAGGAGGCTTTCTCCAGTTGTGTTAAGAAGGCTTCATCTGTTTCCCCTTTTAAGTTGGGTGGTCTGTAGCAGAGGCCCACCATAATGCTGCCCTGTGCTTATTTGTCCTCTGATCCTTACAAATAAGATCTCAACTTGCTTGTCACTGGTTTGAAAGCAACGGTCCTGGTGTTCAAGCTACTCCTTTATATACAGCCCAACTCTGCCTCTTTGCCTTCCTGGCTTCCAAAAGGCCCGGTATCTGGCTATAGCAAAACTCCATTAGTGTGAACTATTCCACCACATCTTTGTAATCTGAATAAACTTAAAGCTCTGCAAGTGTTCAGACTTCTTATTTCTCCTGTTTGTTTCCATGCTGCATGTGTTGGGGCAGAAGTAGTTCATCCATTTGTCCTGCTTTCTCCTTGGTCAGCAGGCTTGAGGAGACACCACTCCATTTCCTTCCTTATCCTAGACCCCTTCTGTTGCCAGAAAAATCACAAAAGTTTCCAGCCTTCTCCATTTTGGGAGTCTCCATTCACCTCTTGTTCAACTGTAGCCTTTGATTGTCCTTCTGTGCCACAGAGAGTTTGGGCTTTTGCCTTTGTAGGGTCTCTGCAAAGACCCTGTCTATCTCCCATTTGTTGTCCCAGATGCTATTCAGTGTGCTAACTCTTCCCATAGCTACTATCTGGTGACTCAATGCCTTGAGCAGAGCATGTCCCCCATAAGTCAGGCTGCTGTTGCTCCCAGCCTCAGGGAGAAGGCACCATGCCCTCCCTGCAACCCAAGACCTGAACAGGTATGGCCTCCCAGGAGCAACGTTGGCACCACTGAGATGCTAGGGTCACTTCAGCTGGTGTTGGGGACCATGATTTATGACCTGTCACCATCACTGTTGCACCAACTATAGCAACCCTGCCCACCAAGGCAGTGTTTTAGGGGCCATTTGTATGCAAGTATCTACATTGTCTGCCAAGTCCCTGTTTATCTAACCCATAGGTAAGTGATACAATCTTGAATTTAAATTAGTGTTTTGGGTGTTTTTTTTAAGATACTATATTCTCATCTTTATGTGTTTGCCTGATTAATTGTATTATTCGCTTCAGGGACTACTGGCCTTAGAGGGAGAGCTGACTCCTATTCTTGTCCAGATGGTAAAAAGTGCTAATATGAATGGTCTGTTGGACAGTGACAGTGATTCTTTAAGCAGCTGTCAGCATCGTGTTAAAGCAAGACTCCATGAAATTCTCCAGAGAGACAGAGAATTTACTGCTGATGACTATGATAAGGTTAGCATATGATTAGTTTCCTATAAAATGAAATAAATAGCCATTCAAATTCTTGTGTAAAAGGAATGAGCAGTGATTTTATGTATCTATTTTGAAAAATTACTTGTGTGCTTGCAAGTAGTTTGAACTACAAAGGAAGCTGTACCAATTGCGATATTAGATACTTTGAGCTGTCTTGCAATTTGAATAATCAGAATACCTACAAACTTTGAAATAGGAGTAAATAGGGACCTCATTCATAAATCTTTTTCAATGTTTCATTAAAAATATTTTAACTATTCAAGAAATGAAACAATTTTCTTTACACTTTCTGTAATCTTTACTTTGCCAGTGTGTGGTATTACAAAATGTATTGCCTGCCTACTGCAGTTGTTTCAATATTTGATCCACTACAAGGCCTTTTTTTCAATTCAAAGAATACTAAGATGCTGAAAACCAGTAGAATACTTTCTAATCAGTGAAAGGAAATCTCATTAAAATGTTAAAGTAATGTATATTAATATAGTTTATGCTGACTTAGTACAGAACACACATGATTGTTCCTGGTTTTAAATATAAGTAATGTTTGTTATTGTTAAGAAACTTCTTTCTCTTTCAATTGCCTTTACTCTTTCTGGTAAAACAACTAAGTACAAGTCTTCAAATGAGGCTTAAGCTTAAACTGCTGTTTTCTAAAAGGTATTGAGAGCAAATTATTGCAAAATAATTTTACTAACCTGCATGTATGGATCTATGTGGATTCGTTTAAAAATATAGATTAAAAGTGTCATCCAAACCACTGCCAGCAGTGAATTCAGCAGTACTTGTAAAAAGTGAGAGGATACAAGGTCTCAGAGGTTTATTTATTTCCCCCCTTCTTTTGCTGTATAGATATAATGGGATTTGAAATGTGGCTGGAACTAATAGAGCATACTCTTCTAAGACAGTCACTGAAAGTAACTAACCTTTGGGATTATGAAGTGATAATTACTTTTGGGGGATTTGTTTGTTTGTTTGTTATCTTAACTTACTTGCAATTTGGGAAAAGAACATGGGGTTTTTTTCTGTGCCAGAACACGTTTCCTATTGATTTACTTGGTCATAATAGGTAGGAACTGCTTATTATTAGGTAGAAGGCAGAAGTTTTCCATATCCAAATTATCCTATGCATTTGAGGAAACTGGGGAAAGTGCAAATATGTATGTGTGTTATGTATATAAATTATTGTTTAATACTATTGTTTGCGTACTTTGGATTACACAGACTTTTCTGAAAAAATTGTGAGGCTAAGCCTCACTTACATGGATTTTGACTGTATTGTTTTAGTGACACTCAACCTGATGATGATAATTTGTAGCTCCTGCAATTTCTATAATTAAGTCACTCTGAAGGACATCTTGTATGTTCTTGATATATGTGCATTTAAAAGGTTTCTTTTTGTTTGTATTTGTGTGCTGCAGTCCTATAGAGACAGAAACCTAAAACAGGAAGAGACAAACTTTTTTTCAGGTATCAGTTACTATTGCAAATCTGGTGGTTCTTTCCAGTTATGCTAAGTAGGGTACTTTGTAGAACAAAAAGTATTTTATAAGGCATGTAGCCTAACAATAACATTTCTTATATAATTTTTTTAAGCTTTTGAATACAATAGTTACTTGAAAGGAAGTTATGGAAAGTTGCTAAGTTTGTACAAAGTTTTAAATGTCTTCAATTTTCCTGTCTTGGAACAAATTTGAGGAACTCCTGAAATTGCTCACATTTACTGGATAGAATTAGTTGCTCTATGAATTTCTTGTTACCTTTGAATCTCTAGTAAATCATACTACCTTTTAATGTATTTTCTTAATGCCTCAAAAGGAGTAGATAATTGAGAAATAGTTTCAAAAATTAATAGCAACCTGCTTGAATGCTTTTTTCCAATACTTGGAATCTTTCAGATGTTCCATCTTATCTCTTAGTTCTTTCAAATCTGGTCAGCTTGTTTAGATAATTCTGTGTTTATTTTAAATTGCAGCTTACTCCATCTGGAAGCATGTCATTGATAAAATCAATGCAGGTTATTAAAAATCCTGTAAAGACATGTGACAAGGTCTATTCCTTGATCCAGAGCTTGACTTCGCAGATCAGGCAAAGAATGGAAGATCCAAAGTCTGCAGGTACTTAAACATTTTTGTAGTTGTATTTAGTTTCTCTTGTTTACATCTGAGAGAAAATTGTAACATAACTTTTCTTCATTAAACTAGCTTTTAGCAGAACTTTAATAAACAACGGGTTAGGGATTTTCACAGTCTGATTCCATATGCATAACTTTACAGTAAAAAGCAGGAGGAACATGTGGTCGTATTGCAGATAAGGGCTCTTAGTGGTGTTCAGAAGTTCAGGCTAGTCCTCAAATGTTTGCAGAAATTCTTGTCTTAATTATTTGAAACTCAGTAGTCCACAAAAGTAATAGGAAAAGCAGGTGGTACTAAAGCTAAGTTACATAGGTACATTTTCATATTTAAGTATCTTTGCTGAAGATCTGTTTCTTGCTGTATGATGTGTAGTAGTATTGCATAGAATGATGCTCAGTATTAATGGTGGTGAACCAGTGACACAGGAAGACTAGAGCTGGAGGTGACCATAGTGCTTTTTTGGTACTAGCTAAATACTGGAATACTTGCTATCAGTGTTCTCTGCAGTGTGTAGTTTGCAAGCAGCTTCTGTTCTGAGGTTTAGCAGTAGAAGTGTCACCTGTACATAATATCAGTGGGTGTTGTCTATTTGGTCTAATCTCCTGTCCTGGAATGGGGATAATCCATCCTTTCTACCAGGCTCTTGGCTTTTGCTATTGACATACACAGGAGAGAGAGACAAATGGGATGTGTGGTCTGTTCTAAAACAGAGATGTTGTCATGCTCCACTTTGTTCCTTCTAGAATTTTCTCCCAGCTTTTTTTTTTTGTTGCTTTTTTTTATGTATGATCTGTGCTGTAGAACACTCTATTCTTTGCTGTAGCTTTGCTTAAAGGGTCAGTAGCGCATTTCTGCAGCGAAGCTTTCTACTATCTGGATGTAGCTATGTAGCTGTGATGCTTTCAGCACTAAAATTAACTATATGTGTACGTCTGTTCCCTCTTGTTATAAGTAATAAGTTAACTTATTTGATCTCTTTTATCCCTCTGCATTCAACTGTTACTACCATGTAATTAAAATTTCCCTTTTGTTACTTGGGTGGTCTTGATGACTTCGATGACTTGATGTGTCTATCCAGATATTCAGCTGTACCACAGTGAAACACTAGAACTGATGCTGCGCAGGTGGGCCAAGCTGGAAAAAGACTTTAAAACAAAAAATGGAAGATATGATATTAGCAAAATTCCCGATATTTATGACTGTATAAAATATGACGTGCAGCACAATGGCTCCTTAAAATTAGAAAACACAATGGAATTATACAGGCTTTCAAAGGCTTTAGCTGACATTGTGATTCCTCAGGTAAGGAATTTCAGTTATTAAATAGAATAAGTTGTAGAATAAATGCTTTTTCAAATTTTGTGAAAACATCTTCTCTGCCTTTTCTATTGAAGCTTCCTGTATTGTGCAGTAGTAGAAGCCTTTAACATTACCTCTTACTTTCTGGTAGTAAGCTGATTATTTTTTGTAAGAAAAATTTGATTCATAATTCACTAAGCTGTGTTCAGAATGAATTTTTCTAGGAAATTAAGATATGAACATGTTTGCTTCCTTTACTGCAGTGTAAAGTGGTTCATCTCAGCCATTCTTCATAGATTTAAGTAGAACCCCTGTGAACAACTGTGCATTCTGAAACTGCATTTAATTTCATTCTTCCTGCTTTTAGAAATTCCATTTTCAGGCTCTTTGCAAATTACAGTTAATCCTAATCTATCTAATTTCATTTGTCTTAAGCATTTTAAATTTTAAAAGACTGACCTGCTGCTTCAAAATGCTGACACTCCCTGATGAAAGTGTACACATTAAGTATCATGGAATTTCAGGCCAGAAACAGACAAGTTAAACTTCCACATAGTACAGGCTGTTAAACTCAGGTTGGCTCTAAAATGTTGTAGACTGCAGGACATTGAATTGTTTTGTGATAACAAGACAGAGCAGACTAAAGCTTTCCCCATGTGTCCCTGCAGTTAGAGCACTGTTGTAAGAGCGGTATTACCCATGTTATATGCAGCAAGTGAGGGATCTTCTTCCTTTCCCCATCTCTCAAACTGCCTGACGGCACGGAGGACAAAAAGACCAATGATGCAAGTATGTGTTGTGTTATATGGGCCTGTTAAGCTTAAATTTTGAATAGAGTGTTAGAGAAGAATAGGTAAAAATGAGAACACATACTGAAGGAAGAAGAACAAAGAAAACTTGATAAGTGTACATAATGCAAAGGAAAAGTGCTTATGTTGCTCTCTAGGGTAGCAAGAATATCCATCAAAATTATGAGAGCACTTTCATGTCATGTATAGAACAGAGCATGAAGCTTCTGGAAGAGAAGATTTTAAAATATTGTAGATACTGTAACAGACATGATATTTTTCCAGTTGTATTTAACTACTATTTTCAGTATTATTTGAGGCGAATAGGAGATCCTTCTGTGGGGTGGTTTACCCCAAACTAAGATAGACATATTAAATAGATAATATGCCTATGTCTCTTTATTGACTATTTAAAAAAAAAAAAAAGTTACTTGAAATCGGGTGAGATGAAATGCATCATTGATGTCTAAATCTGGAGAGTGCAGTGGGGGGAGGAGGAGGAATAATTCCCTGGATGTTTTGCTTAAGAAAAAGAGCTTCATTGTACCCGAAGGTGAATCCACTTTTGTGGTTTAACTGTTTCTCTGTGTCAAATCAAACAGCAAAAAGGCAAACCACTTGTTCCTTGAAGGGACGCCAGTAATCAAATGTAATAAAGATGTTAAAACAATTTGCAGCCAGAGCAAACTAACAGATGACTAATTGGCTTTAATATACAAGCTTTGAATTAGAAGGCATTTTAATCTTTAACTTAAAAGTCAGTTTCTTCTTACACAGGAATATGGTATTTCTAAGGCTGAGAAACTAGAGATTGCCAAAGGTTACTGCACTCCTCTAGTTAGAAAAATCCGTTCTGACCTTCAGAGGACTCAAGATGATGATACTGTAAATAAGCTTCACCCTCTGTAAGTCTTTTACTTTTTTACATGGTCACATTAATTTCTGTAAGACTTAATGGAGATATTCCATAGCTTTCATATTTGAAATGTCTTACTAGCTCATAGTAATTTTAAAAGTATGATTTATTTATTTGTTGACAGCTATTTCTAAAATAGGGACACATCTCATTATGGTCTAATAAGTTTTGGGGTTTTTTTCTTTCAAGTTACTCCAGGGGTGTTATGTCCCCTGAACGCCATGTTCGTACACGGCTGTATTTCACCAGCGAGAGTCATGTCCACTCCCTGTTATCCACCCTTCGTTATGGTGCCTTATGTGATGTAAGTTGAACACTTTTTCTGATAAAGCCCTGATATTTTGAGAGAAACCAAAAGGACTCAATTGCACTAAGATTGTGTCAATTGAAAGCTTAATTTTCTTAGATGGCTTTGAAATTTATCACACTTTTTCAAACATTTGATTTCTTATTATATATGCAGAGACATATTTCAAATTGCTGGTGTGCACACTGGTAGAAATCAGCAAGCCCTTTAAAGTAATGCTGAATTCCATTGGTGTGTTCAGCCGTATATGTTATGGTCTCAAAGAGATTTGAAAAGGGCAGGTAATCCATTTTTTTCTCTTACGTTGTCAGCTATAATTCTTTCAACTCTTTTTCCTTCAAGTCATCATTAAGGGTTCTCTTGAATTCACTTTTGGACTGGCTTATTATTTTTGACCATTGGCATATTGTCAAGACCTCCCTACCTGACTACAAGAATGCTCATGTAATGCCAAGTTTCTCCTGTTCAGTGGATTGTCTTACTTTCCTATATTGTTGTAGAATGCCTTGAAGGTGGTGCATTATTCTCCATCTGATTGGTTTTGAAACCAAGGACTAAAAAAAGCAAGGTCTCCAGATTCAGAAATGACCTAATTGAGCTCTTGGAGAGGATAAATCCAGCACCACAAAGCCTACATGGCTGCTTCTGAGGCAGAGCTTGATTAATATACTAACTTTTGAAATAGTTGTTTTGACATACTTGCTTCTGGTAATAGATAACTAAACTCATTAATGGCAAAAGCATTTTTAATCCTAGACCTTTGTGACATGCTACAGCAGACACAGTCCTAGTTTTAGGCTGATAAACTTTGACATTTCCTTTAAGGTGGATTACTAAATTATTTTTTTCTAGAGCATGAAAAAAGGTGAATATTAATTTTAAATAGTTTGGGATGTAATGGTTGTATTTCTTCTATGTACTAGAAGCCTTCACTTCCTCTTTGTGTTTGACTGGTAGAGTGGTATCTAGAAACATTTTCCACAATATACTAGTTGAAACTAGTTTATTGCAAAATTAACAATTCCCATAAGGAGAGTTTAAAACGGTGTCTCTGTCTACAAGACATATATCATCATTGGCAAAAGAACATGAAAGATACATTGAAATAAAATATGAAAAATTCTGATATCCATGTTTCATTCCATGAATAATTTTAAGTCACTTTTTTTTCTGGTTGTATCTCTGTTTTTTCCTTAGCTGTAAAAAGCTTTGTACTTCTGCTGTGAATGTAAAATCCATGTAAATGGGGAAAAAGGGAAATCATCAGTCTTTTTAAAGAAAATTGTTGGGGTTTATTTGTTGATATTTTTTTTCCCCTTCATAAGGAATCAAAAGATGAACAATGGAAACGAGCTATGGATTATTTAAATGTTGTCAATGAACTCAATTACATGACACAGATTGTTATCATGCTTTACGAGGATCCAAACAAGGTATTTAAAATGGATAAGTATCTTCAGAAACGAGTAGTACTAAGCTATGTACTAAAGTGTAAACCTATTTAATCATTTCATTCAGGAACTTTCTTCAGAAGAACGTTTTCATGTAGAGCTGCACTTTAGTCCAGGAGCCAAAGGTTGTGAGGAAGATAAAAATTTACCAGCTGGGTATGGATACAGACCTGCCTCCAGAGAGGTAATAATTATGCCTTTCTTTAAAGCAAAAGTTTGTTTTCCTGGATGCGGACATACCTAAAATAAACACTGGGCAATTGTTAGGTAAAAAAAACAAATGTGATTTTTATTTTGGTAGAAAACTGTCTAGTAAAATATAGACAGTCCCAATGTATTATTCCATTTTGAATGGACACTGAGGTAATGGGCACAGATAATTTGGACCTTCTAATGCCTTTGCCAGAATTTTTGCTAGAAATATGAAATACTCATTGTAAGAAAAGTGATATCAACATCAGTGTCACATCAGTGATATTCTGGCAACTGAAAGAAACATTTAAGAAAGCAAGGTGGTTTGGCATGTTATGAATACAGATCGTTGAGGAAGGATTGATATTTTCAAAGATGTATGGGCAGGTCTGTGGAGTTACCACCTGCTTTTTGAGAAATACATGAAATCAAAGCTTCACTGGAATTATTCTGTTGGCTTGTGGGGCCAGGTTTTTATTACTATGTCAACAGAAAATTGGAGTAAGATATGTTGGATGAACAGTGTGGTTAATTAGGACCACACTATCATATGCAGTGGCTGGTTAGGAGCAAATACATAGGTTATTAAAGTTATTTCTTCAATAATATGTGATTTACATCTTGTATTTTTAGAATCATCTGGCTTTATGTTTACACAGAAGATTTATTTAACAGCCACTTCTATCTACATGTTGCAAGGTGTGCGGCTAAATTGAAAATGAATTATGTATCATTTGTAGAATGAAGGCTCAAAGAAAACCTCTCATAGAAATGATAGTGATGAGGAGGCACACGCTCCTAAAAGAGATGAAGCAGACCGGTCAGTAGTGATGTTCAAGCCAATGGTATCAGACCCAATTCACATACACAGAAAGTCACCCCTTCCAAGATCCAGGAAGATTGGTTCTGTTGAAGTAAGTATTTATGTTCCAGATAATGTCTTTCACAGAAATTAATTTTTGCTTACTTTTAACAAAACAAAACCAAATGTAATTCTGCTTTTGATTACACAGAACCAGTATGACGTTATGCCTCACCAAAGGGTTGCTCTTACTCTATGGGAAGTACTTCATGGCAGTAATTTGTCTGAAGGAATTTTTTTTTTAAATGAATTATTATTTTATGATAAGTCTTATTTCCTTTTATCTTTTTAAACCATTTTAGAAAAGCCAATATTTGAAAATGAAGACTTTTTCAGTCTAAACTTACATCTTCAAACTAACATACATTGCTTTTGTATTCATCCTTACAAGACAGCTGCTATTGGGAATTAAGCAAAACTTCAGCGTCATCACGCTGAGAGGGAACAGAGGGATTGGGGGTGGTAGGGGAGGTACAGGAAGTGAGAGACATGTCTTCTGCTGTATTTGCTTTCACGTGGGGTGAAAGTGACTCCACTTGTCAAGCATTTGAAGGTAAGAGAATAAACCGGAAGCTTTCTTTTTCTAAGTGGGTGGGGTTTGTGTTTCATGAATTCTTCAGATAACATCTTGAACAGTCTAGTCTCCTGTGTTGAAGGCCATGACATCTAGGTGTGCTTCACAGGTATGGCTTTAATGTCACAGAGGTGGGGTGATGCACGGCAGTATCACTGATACCATTCGTACAGTTGAGTGGCAAAGCTTCAGATGGTGCATAGAGGCACTTCTGTGATATTAACGCTAGAAGCAGACTAACAGCTTCTTATTGCCTCATTTTCAGTTGCTTAAAACCATCAGAAATGAAGATTCATACTAAAAGCTTTTCCTTCCATGTTTGTGCTGGGAATGGGCTGTTTGTATGCAATGAAAGTATTACAGATTTGCAAGTAACTTGGTTATTGGTAGCGTGGAGAGAAAAAGATGCATGGTCCCTTCTGTAAGGGTATCTGTATAACTTCACATGACTTCCATAAATTAACAGAGATAATAAATGTGAATGTTTTATATATTCTGTTTCCAAGTTTTATCATAAACAAATGCTCACAACATCCATATTTTGGATTTTTAAAAGCTGATTTCACTATGATCATGCAAACTCCCCTCCTAGTTATGAGTTCAAATACACATAATAGTCTATTACTTCAGACTTTTAACCATTTTCATAAATTATGTAGAATTTACTTTCAAAAGGTATCAATAACATAAATTTCTAAGTTTTGACTGTGCAGATAACATGTTCAGATGGAATTGTTTCAGCATTCAGTGCCTGTTTATTTGCTGGAAGAAAATAGCCAATTTAAAGAAAACATACAGTGAAACTTTTTTTGAAAAAGTAAAAATGGAAGTTTCATCTGGCCTACTGAAATCTGCAAAACCAGTATTTGGAATACTTAAACCAAATGGTATTTTGAAATGTTTTAAAAAAGTCATTGCAACTTAAACTGCAACTGCCTTGAACATTTTTTTTTTTCCTTCCTGCTGTAAGGCAATTCTCTCTTCACCTATGTCCATTAATTTGTAAGGACACTGTCAGGTGTGAGATTATATTGAAGTTTTAATCTGGGGTATAGTCAGCAATATTTACATAAGGATCACAACTGCGATTGAGTCATGGAAAAAAAAAAGCAGAGTTCTAACAGTAAAACAAAGTATGGCTCATCGACATTGGAAATCAACTTCTATATAGCTAAAAATGTTGATTGCTAATGATACATAATGATGTAGGGCATGGGGGACTCTTAGCCTGACACTGTCCTCCGTTGAAGTCTCGATAGGTGTCCAGCATTAAATAACTCTTAGGGCTTTTTTAAGGTTGGAAGACTACTACCAGTCAGGTTGGTGCTACTACCAGTGAGTCAGTTGTAAAGTCTCAAAGGCAATTCTAACAATGAGAACCTTTTAGATAAGGTTATAGACTAGAAAACTATTAAGTAATAAATAGGAAAGTTTAATGTACTTAGAGGGGGAAAACTATTAAACAGTATGTCAAGGATAACATATTCTGTTTCCAGTGTGCGGGAAATTCTTAGAGTTATGCATCAATTATTGACAATGATTACTTTTCTCTCATATCTAATAATTAGTCTACCAGAAATTTGATCAAAGAGTTGTCTTAAAAGATACAATTGGATGAAAAGATAAAAGTGGAACTGATAACTTCTAATATTGTAATATTACTCTTTCCTGTTTGCTGTTTAATAGTTTTAAAAGCAGTATATAAAAGGGTGCAAACAGATTGGGTTTTTTTCTTTTCTGTTCGTTTGGCTCTGTTGAATCTAACTTTGCATGCTTTGCTGTTTTTTGCCCCCTTTCTCACTTCCAGGAAGAGAGCCCCCTGAGTGTGTCTAGCCCAGAGTGTATTGGTACCTGGCTGCATTACACCAGTGGTGTGGGTACTGGGCGTCGAAGACGCAGATCAGGGGAACAAATCACTTCTTCCCCTGTCTCCCCTAAATCATTGGCTTTCACATCCAGTATTTTTGGCTCATGGCAACAGGTTTTTAAACTTTACTTCATTAAACATTATTATGCATTCCAAGCAACAACCAACTGTCTTTAAGGACATCTAATCCCTTGTTATGGATTATGTGTGAAGCAAATTCTTCCACTTCTTAAAATTACTTCCCGAGAATGTTTGGGGGGAAAAAGAGCAAGTGCATGTTTTTCCACTGAATGTGTTACACGTTTTCCTAAAAATTTGGTTTCTTTATAGGAATTGCAAATGTTACCACAGTAAAAAAGACTTAGTCTACTGCCTAATGAAAGAGATTTCTGCTTTGGTTTAGTTGTCCTTTAAGACTTTAAAAACAACTTTGCTTAATTTGGTGGTAGGTAAATTGAAAAGCTTTTTTTTAATAATTGCAACCAATACCATTTAAAATAATTTATTTGGTACTTCATATTGCTATTCAAAACTTGTTTTGCATATATCATATTTTCAGTGGCCTGGTATTAACTACTGCAGGGGAAAAACTCTAGCACTAATAATTCTTGCCTTCTGTATCTGGAGGTATCTGAAACTCCCAACACAGTACGTCATCCATTGACTTGTACAATATTTCAAAGATTTTTTCTAAATACTGGGGGGGAAAGGCAGGAAAAAAAGAAACAATAAATTTTTTTGAAGTACCAGTGAAGATCTAAAGATTGTTTAGTATGTTGAGATATTGTTTACATGTATGACAATGGATGGTGTTCTGTTAACCATATCCTTTTTCTTTGAAAATTTTCATAATTTCTTTTTATTGTGCAAAATTCTAAAACTATTTACATAGGAAAAGTTGATATCAGTAAAGGCTGTGAGCATCTGAAGATTATGCTGATTGAGCCCGTGCATGGATCAGTGATTGTATGGTGTCCTCAATAGCTTGTCTGTCTTTCCTTCCCTCCCCTCCTTTTTTCAATACAGGCGCAGTTTAGGAGAGTGCATTTGGTAAAATGAAATAAAATGTCTCAAATGTCTGTTCTCATATCGGTCTTGGTCTGTGTCCTTTCTCATTCTGAATGCTTGCTTTGCACCACTCCATTGCAAGGAACTCATATGTGTAATGGACTCCCTTCAGAAGGGGATATTGCATGATCTTTCATGTTTCCTTTACATTCTTTTACTAACACTTATCATACAGCTTATTAACACTTGTCTGTCTGAAACAGGCTGCTGTATCAAGTTAAATGGACATTTCATGCTGCTGTTCTACTTTCCCTTATTTTTCTGTCTTTTATATCCAGGTCTTATCAGAAAGCAATAGTAACTTACGAACACCAAGAACTATTCTGGAACAAAAGCAGAGTGGTCTAGGTATGTGCCTACAATTGAAATTTTCTTTGATGTTAGCAGCTTTTCATCTGCCTGTTGTTCTGTACAGTTGTACATTCTTTGAATAGCTTTTATGTTAACAGGACCCAATAGTATTTGTTATCAATAATATATGCTGAGTGTCTGTCTATGAACTAGACAATTTTTCTGCAGCAAAGTTTTTAAATAAATTATAACTGAAAAGAACAAATTGTTTGAGACTGTTCACATTGACTCTGTACTGCTCGCAACAGGTACACAACGTTATTTTTAACATAAAGTAGATGTTTAAGATAATGTAGTTCATGACTGAGTTTTTGGGTTTTGCAAGAATCTTTTGGATTGAAATGGCCTGCGCTGGAAACTGTTAAAACACTTTTCTCAAAAATTAACATTTCCTACTGTGGGCAATTGATGGAATTGAAGGTGTTTTACTGAGGGGAGGGGGTTAGGGAAAAAACCTCAAGTTTCTTGATAATATCAGGGGCTTTGCACACATTCCCTCTCCTAAAATCAATTTCTTCCTTTCAGCATTAGAATGAATCATGCAATAATTCAAGGAGTTGTTTCAAATTCTTTTAATTCAAGTGGTGCTTTTCTGTTGCTTCTTTGAAACAGGCATACATATGACTCAAATGCAAAAATAGGAAATCTTGCACTACTGTAAATCAATATTGCATTTTTTTCTGTGTGTCTTGGGAAAAATTAAGTGTGGAAAATGCATAAGCTATATGCATAAACTTAGAAGTAGCTTTTTCTGTCTTTGTAAAGAGCTGTATTTTTTCTATGTCTAATCTTTCTGTGATACTTTTCTCCCTATTATATTTTTCCCTTAGTAAAATGCATACATCAGGTGCTCCTGTTTATTGAAGTCATGTTTTTTATTGTGTGCTTGCTAAAGTTAAATAACTTTTCTTTTGCCGATGTGTGACACAATATGGCTTGTGGAAGTTGATGTATTTCTGTGCATAGATTAAGGTATTACAGTTGATGTGAAAGGCTTTTGCCACAGACCAGGCACCAATTTATTTTGGCTGTGATTGGTCACATGTGCTGGTAATGTTTCCTCCCACTGGGTCATTAAAAGTAATGAAAGGAAGTATTGCTGGATAGATAGTTGTTTTTCAAAAAAAATCTGCTGCTACTTATCTAAAATGTAAAAGATAAGTTCTGAGTGAAAAACCACTTCTCCTTTCAACCAGTAGTAAAAACTAAAGGAAAAAAATTGCAACATTTTTTTCCATTTTGTTCATTGTTGTTTGTAAATATCATTTATGGTTGATTACAAAAGTTATTTTTATATTTCTGTCTGTGGCCTTCAGTGATTTGTTAAAATTCCCATCCTAGTGGCAGGAGTGTATGAGTTGTAACAAAAGTACTCTCACTTGCATGGACATGTACAAAAGTCTTCTCAGGAAAGGAAGTCAAGCTAGACCTGATGAAACGTTTAGGTATTTTCAGTTTGTAACATTATCAATGATAGTAGCTGAAATACGAATAGAGTATTTCCAGTTTGGTTAACATTTTGTTGGGGTTAGAAGGGAAATATTTCCATATTAAGTCTGTGGAAATGCATGAGTACTTCATTGCAGCCTGTCATCTCAAAGGTTGATTTGGATGGAAAGCAATGAGCAGTATTTTTCCAGTGTATATTTGTTTTAGAACTGCAGCTTTTAAAACACACAACTTTCACATCATCATCATCATCATCATCATCATCTTGGTTTTGTTTTGTTGCTTTGGTTACGTATACATTGATGCTAACTGGTAACTTTTCTTTACCAAAAGTGAAAACAGGACAAGAACTCACTTTAAAGCCAGTCCTCTCTTTGCACATATAGCAGAGGGTGCTGTGTCATGAGTAGAAGCACAATAAATTATGATAGTTTCAGCCTACAAGTACCACTCTGACATTACAAGCATATTGTGAACCTGTCCAAGGCACTGCCAAAAGCTGCCTTTTGTGTGGTAAGAGCCATGTGCTTGCATGCTGCATGCATCCCCAATGTGAATGGACGAACACCTGGTTGTTGTATGTATTTTCTCTAACTCCCATCAGGGTCTCACTGTGCGGGCCTGTTTAGCACCTCAGTGCTCGGGGGTTCTTCAAGTGCACCTAACCTACAGGATTATGCTCGTACTCATCGTAAAAAGCTGACTTCTTCTGGCTTCATAGATGGTATGTGCACACTCTCGCACATGCACGCACAAATCCATGTGCCACATTAAACCTCTAAAGATAAATCCTAGGTTACTGATTTTAATGGAATCCTAGAATCCTTTGCCTTAGTATTAATTGTATGAGTTTCTATTGCTTCTTTATTGCCTGTAGCTTGCTTATGTTTAACTTAATAGCATAGTTAATTCTTGTTTTTGTCTTGAACACTAGCTCACAGACTTGTAATGCGTGCCAGGAGATTTCAGCAAGTGCATTTTCTAAGTAAAATAAAACTTTGGTTTTGAAATTCTTTTCTTATTTTAAACTTCAGGTTTTATCATTACTTATTGATTGTGAAATGAAATAAATTACTTGGAGCATATACAAGGAATGAAAGAAATTATAAACTAATAAGTTAAATACTGATGGTGAAAATTTTAGGATTCCTGGCCTTTTTTCGGTGGGGTTTGGATTACAAAGGAGCAGGAGGTTTTCAGTTTTAGATAATCTGGGGTAGAGAAGAAACTCTGGCTAGATTTCAGAATGCAAAGATGCCAAAGTACACCATTATAACTCTGAAGGTGAAACAGTATTCATGCTGTTTTCCTCTCAGTTCACTACTCAGTGTTCAACTCTAACCTGTTATAAGCTTGTATGCCAGAATCACGAGCTCATTCTGCTTGTTTTCATACACTTCATTACACATCTTGTAGTTACCAAGAATCCAAATTTTCTTCTTTTTAACCTCTGTTTAGATTTTAGCCCTTTTCCTTGGTCCCTTCTGCATGCCACTCAGTTCTAATACCTTCTCATCTTTTCTTTTTTTCTTTCTTCTTCTTTTCCTTTTTTAAAATGTCCCTCTTTTGGTAGCTGTTACAAATTTCAGGTACCTGTTTTTCTCTTTCTCAGACACCACACGCGGTTCTGCTGTTAAAAGGTTTTCTATCTCATTTGCTCGACACCCAACCAATGGTACGTTTTGCTTTTATTTTAAAAACAAAAACGAAAACAAAAGGTTCCTTGCTTCTTCCCTTTTATTTTTATTTCAAATACGGGGTGTACAGTATCATCTAGCCGTCTGTCGTTCCTAACTTCAAGGACAACTCCAAATATATTTGTGACCATTAGATATCCTAAGTCCCTTATTTACCATTCATTAGTATAAATACAGTATCAAAATTTATTCCTTAGAAAAATCCTTGAAAAAATCAAAGTGCTACTGTTAATCATGATCTCTGTAATAAATTATCCTCCCCAGTTTCTTGTGTGATCAGACTGTATGGTGTAAGATAAAAACAGAATTAAATCTGATCTTTATTGGGCATACACTTCTTGATAGCTGCTGCTTCTTCTTTGTCTTTCTCCTGCTGAGCTGTTTCCCTGAGCCTCCTGATGCTAAATTAAATCACTGAATTGACATGGATTTTATTACCATCTTCCTGAAGTGATGCTAAATTAAAAAACTAAAGCAGAAGCTTTGATTCCATTCCTGCTAAATTGCTACATGTATCATCGAACAAAAATTTATTTTACCTTATCATACTTCTCTGTTCATCAGATGTGCAAATTACTTAAATATTGCACTAAAAATCACAGCAAGAGAGCTGCCTGTTGCTTACATTGACCTCTTGAGCTTCAAGAGTGAGAGTTAACTTGTCTTCAGTCTACCATAGTTACAAAAAAAGTCTGGTTTAACACACAGGACAGAGGTACGTCTTTCTCTTCCTCAGCAAAATATTTCGTGCCTACCATTCTATGTGATTAAATAGGCACAAAATGTCTCCTGTTCATGAAAACTAGACTTGGTTTTCAGCACCCCCCAGATCTTAATGTAGCTTTTCCAGATTTCTTAACTGCAGTTTTAAAATGTGCGTGACTGCTGGCTGAGTACAGTGATGGTGTTATTATTGAAACTGCAGTGGAAATCATCAGCATTTTCATGTTAGATTCAAAATATATTTGCTTAGAAACAAGGATTAAAAAAAAGACTGAGTTTTTGTTTGGCTTTGCTGAGAAGCAAGTAGTCCTTTATTATATGCATTTGGAATCCATAGTGACTTTTTGTACTGCAATGCTTCTTGAAGGGAAACTGCTATAGGAAGGCTGAATTAATACCATTAAGACTGTTTTTGATGTAAAAGGCCAATTCTGGTGTCCTATTTCAAATAGGGAAGTTAGGAGTCCATTTTTTATCTTTAGACTCAAACCAAATAGTATTTCCAAAACATACAAGGTCTGAAAGTAAGGAGTATCAGTGTCTAGTAATGTGATTACTTTCTGTTCCATTTAGCACTATCTTTTTGTGACTGCATTCTTTAAAAAAAATCTAAATTGCTTTTAATGAATGCATTGATCATTCTGATTCATTTAATACAGCAGTTTTACCACACATCTTTTACACGATTAATGCATGCTGTATAAGCTCCTATGAAACCTAAGTATATTGCAGGTTTCCAAGGGTTCTGTACTAACATAAGAACATATTGATGTTTTGTTTGTCCTCTGGGCTGTCATTTTGATTCTCCTTGTCCCTTTCACTCTGTTTTTTCTTATTTTTATGTTGTTATCACACCCTCTAACTCATTTCAGACTACCCCCCCCATCTTTAGTTCAAGGAACATGGTGAAACAAGTATCTTCTGACAGTGCTTTACCTTATTTTCTGGGCCTCTGTGCAGAACACCCACACCTCTTTAGGTGCTGGTCCATTTCCTCTGTGGAATTTCTAGGCTCCAGTGGTATGTCTCTATAGCTTTTAAATGTAAGACAGCAGGGTGGCTTTTTGAGATGCTGCGTTAACCCTTTCATTGTCTTGCCTTTTGATGGGGACAGTGCTTTAAGAATAAATATAACCAAAGCTCAAAGGCTGTTAGTTTACAGGAAATTGCTTTTTTAAAGGGATACTGTCAGGTGGCTTCATCATTAAAATTAAAATTTATTTCTCATAACATCATAAAATATTTAAAGAAAACACTGAAGATAGGTTTCCAGGGCATCTTTTAAGTCATATCCCTTAGATGCAAAGATACTACAACAACATGGTGGGATATGGCTATCTGATAGCAGAATTCTCAAAACTGAACAAAAACCTATGGAGAGGAAATTCCTGAAAGGAGAAAATGTTTTTTTTTTTCTTTTTTTAAAGGGCATAGGTGTATTTTGAAATTCCTTTCTGGTTTTCTGTAACACTGCACTATGATGGTAATAGTTATTAAAAAGTTAACCTGACATTGTCCCACTACATTCTTTGCAAAATTAAAAAAATAAATTCTCATTCAAGTGATAGTGACTTTTCTGTCAGGGTGCAGAGATAAATCTTGTATTTTACTGTAATGCAAAGAAAGGGTTTGCGCTTTGCATGCATGCATAGTTATTTAGGATATTAATATGTATGCCAAACATCTTAGTGCTTACACTGAAGCTTAGCTACTGCCTTTATAGGAAGATAGAAATTAAGTATGTGGTGGTGTTTCTTTACATGAAAACCAAGTTTCCATCAAATGCAACTTTTTATTTGTAATATAAGTGAAGCTGACATAAGTATACTTCAGCTGATTGTATATTTGAAGCAACTGTCCCTCAAATATGAGTATGGCTAAGGTGTATCCAAATATAAATACAGACATTTGGGGGTTGAAATTTTGCTGAGTTACTTCTCTATGCAAAGCACTAAGTGGGGAGTGAATGGGGAACACTGGATATCACAGAAATATTGATGCTTATTATTTTAGGGGAGGGAACAGTTCACAGTCATAATGCTATCTCTAATAAATGTACCTTGAACTGAAATTCTAAGCATTATTTCATTCACTATTGTTTCTTCATTTAAATATCTTAAAAGAAATGTAGCAAATGTAAATTTACAATATTGAATTGCAAAGTTGTAATGTTACAGCTGTATGTTGAAAACACTAATGGACATATTTTCCTCTTCTGAAATGCAATTGGATGAAGAGCTGTTCATTGAGTTATCAAACTTGCATCACTGTAGAGAACTACAATTTTTTTTTTTTGCCAAGATGTTTAAATGCTTTTTAGTATGTTAGTAATATGGATATGCATGGTTGGTGTGTGATCAATACTAATGTAGAAAAGCAAAGTCCAATAATTTTTTTTATTTTGGGTTGCTATACTTACCTGTTCTAATATATGAAACTTAGAGTCTTTTGAGTACTGTTTTTAAATGCATAAAGGTAGGTGTAAATCTGTCTTACAAAGTTAAAACATGTAACGTCAAGGTACAAAAGTGCTAACAGTGGTTTTCCTTTGATATTGAAGGCAACAGTTTGTTTTCACAGAATACTGAAGATGGTAGAACATGAATTCTGCAAATTTATTTCTTGGAAGTCTTAGCATGTTTAGCGCTTGCCTGCTAACAGTTGACACCATAGCTACTACCCTATTTTACTTGCATGAATGAGTTATCTATTTAGTGTTGTGCCAGGTATGAGAATGAGTAGGAGAAATACTACCATTTCCTGACTATTTTTTTTTTTAACTGATTTACTACGTTTGTCTTAGAGGAAAGTTATCTTTCATGAACTGATTTGGGAATAGAGTGCAGCTGTAATGTTTGAAGACCACTTTATGTGTATGTGGGATTTGTATCCCATGGTATGTTACATGGTACCTTTAGTTTAGTACACCCTGGAAATTGGCACATCTTGTTCCAAGTCCTGTAATATCTAGTGCCCATGATGTGTAAAGTACTATGTCTGCATGTGCTGATTTAAAATAAGTACTTTTTATCATGCATTAATACTTGTCCATACGATAGATTAAATCCTGTCTTATGTTTGGAAATATCTTTTTTTTTTTTATTGTTTCTCTTTCAGGTTTTGAACTGTATTCCATGGTGCCTTCTATTTGCCCTTTGGAAACTCTACACAACTCCTTGTCTCTGAAGCAGGTGGATGAATTTCTTGCCTCTGTTGCTGCTCCATCGAGGGAAAATCTACAGGAGACATGTACTGATTTTAGCTTGTAATTATGTTCATTTTAAATTGTTAAATATTGTCTAGGTAGTCTTTTGAGTATTTTACAGCTAACAAGTATTCTAAGAATATTGCTTTAAAAAAAGTGAAATATGTACATAAACCATAATTTTAATTTTTGCAGTATCCTTTTGCGGTATGAACACTCTCATAATTCATTGAAGTAGTGTCTCTGTTGACTGGGGTACTAAATTGAGAATTTAATGAAATTGTAATTAGTTTATTTCCTCAAATTAAGAACTTCTCTGTACTGTCCACACTGTTAGCTGAATTACAAGGAATGCTTTTTAGTAAGCATGCAGTATTTCCAGCTTTGTACTGTACTGTTGTACTGGCAGTAACCTCAGCAGAGTACTGTTGCCTTTTACAAGCCTTTTACATCTTAAAACTGTTATTTCATGTTTCTTTCAATAGTACTTGGGGTTTCACCTGTGGAGTGCCTTGCAGTTACTTAATTTTTTAGTAGTTTGTGCTGCATGTTTAAGTGATTTTGAAATGAAATGCAAACTGAGTTCTATCCATGTGCATGTCTCTGGGAAGATCACTTCCCATTGTGATTCTGCTGCTGTGTCTTTGGAAATTATTTCAGTTAGGCCAGATTTACTACATACTAGGATGCTTATAATTCATGTGTCAGGTGATTGAAAATCATTCTTCTTGAGAAAATGTCTAAAGACTCATGCTTTGATCAGAAAATTTTTATTTGCTAGTACTGGTACAAAGGTTACCCAGCTGTTAGGATTTTCCCTTTTATTTCTGTTACAGGATTTTCCCCTTTTTTAAGTTATTTTAGTTTTATACAGTTTAGATTTTAATCAGCAGCCAGTTTGATAGAGTTAGCCTCCGATATCTGAGAAAGAAGATAAGCAATTTAAGAAAACTGATGTTACTGAAAAAGAACTCAGGAAGGTTTAGAGCGATTTTAACGTTCTTAGCTATTTAAAATGCATTGTCACACTGGTTAGGAGATTCATGTCTCTTCAGAATCAGTTCAGAATTTAGCAAGACAAAAATATATTTTTTAAAAACTGTCATACTTCTGTGGTGGTCTGGTTGTCACTCTTTTATAAAGGAGTGGTTGGAAATTAAACCTGATAGAACTGAGGCCATAGATGCTTTGCTCTCCTGCTTTCCTGTAACATTTGGAAGTTGTCTAGAGAGTAATGTATCGTATGTATTTTTCATAGGCGTTTTGGACTAAATGCCTGTTGCAGTGCGATCTTCATAACCTAGGAGAAGTAGTACTAATGCTTTTGCCAGTCTTCTGGCAAGGCAGCTGTTGCTGAAATTTGGCTTAGCTGCCTTAGCAGCATGAAGTTACCATGTTTCTTTCCGAGGTAAAAAGAACATTTTTAGATTTGTCTTTCATGCTTTGAAGTTTTGACACTAGAGTAAAAAATCGGTAGCTGAGCTACAGGTTGTATAACTGTGGCATCTATATTGCTGGACAGATACACAGTTATGTGGCTACTATTTTTGACATTTTGCTCAGGTGAGAGTATTTTTATTATTAATGATATGTATCTTTTCCCCCCTTCCCCCCTCCCCCCCATTTCAGCTTCTCCAGCTTACATGATTCCACTGCCAGGAAGAAAAATTTCTTTAAATACATACACCCCTGCAAAAATTCAACCAACACCACTTGAAACTTTGCCTGAAAGGCTAGCAATAGAGAAACCAACCTTATGTAAGTAACTTATGGCTATTTTGTTTACATTATTTCCAGCAGTACGATTCTTTCTCATATATTACATAGTTTCTTAGGGCAGCTGTTTCTTAACATTCCCTGTCAGTGGGGTCATTTCACAGGTCAGTGAGAACTCAGTAGCATTGCACAAATAGTTTTAGCAGTAAAACTGCGTTAATAGTTACTTTCTCTTATCCTCTGAAGTGTTTGAAAGAATTTCTATGGCTTGAAAATTCATGGGGTTTTATTTTGTTTTGAAGTGTGACAATATTCCCAGCTATCTCCAAGTAAGACAAGCAAAGGAAATTTACTTACTTAAGTGGCAGAATTTCTAAGATGTTTTCTGAACATTTAGCATAGAGCTGTGTGACCAGGTTCTGACTAAAGCTGCCAATAACATGATGATGCATTCAGTCATTAGTATACGCAGTCTGAACTGTTGGGTAGCTACACTGCTTTTGGATGGCTGTGCTGTATAGAAGGCCTCTAGAACAAAATCAGGTTGCATTTCTGGTTTCTTTAGATACAGTGTAGCTTTGTGTCTTTCTCTGGTAGGTAACTTGTGTTTTTTCTTGCTTTTAATGCTTTTTAGCATGGATATTCTTAAGTGTAAAACCTAATACTTTTTTTTCTTTATCTGTACAGCTACCCGTGGATCTTCTGTTTGTGTATCTAATGTTAAGCTATCTCTTGAAGAGGTCTCACTAGATGTCGAACTTAGTGGGGAAACACTTTCTGAGAAGAAGTGAAGTTGATCAGACAAAACTGGAAGCAACTTAAACAATTCTTTAGTGTGTGTGTTCAACAAAATTACTGAGCTTTCAAAAGCCATTCATGTCTGCAGCTCATAGTGCACTTAATCTTTAGTTCATACATGGTTCACTAGTGCGCACGCTACATATTTAGGTCAAATGTCTTTTCTCATTTTGTAAAACATTTCAGGAAATATATTTATCAGTTAGATGAACTGCACACCTTTAATGGAAAAGCTGCACATGAACCTTTTCAGTGTCTTCAAATATTTACTGTAAACTTGTACAAAAAGAAAGTACCAGTGCAGTGGTATGTTTTACAGTGACTCTGTTGATGTCGCTGTAATGAAGGCATTGTCTGTTGTTAACATAAACTTCTATTTTCAGGAGTTTATAATCTCCCTGTGAATTTCTTTTGTGGGCTGAAATGTTACACACATCTTGGCTAGAAGCTTTTTTTTAATTTAACTACATTTCCAAAGAGATCTCTTTTGCCTGGTTTTGAAGATAAGCAGATATTTTCTGCATTTGAATTACTTTATATCATATATGCTGCAATAATTAGGCATGATGGAGTGAGTTAATGTATTGTCACTTTTGACTGTCCTTATTTTTATTCTGTGTTTACATCAGACCTGTAACATTCAAATACATCTTCTCTTTTGTTGTTTAGTATACATGCTTGTATACGGGTACCTGTACATCACCCAGTGGATAAAACTGTGTTTTATATGCTTTTATCAAAACCTTCTTTTGTTTACTAAAAAGACAGTTTTATTTGCTTTGCCATAAGTTTCTACAAAAACGTGATATTAAAAAGCAGGTTTTTGTAAAAAGAGAAATGGTTACAGCTGGTCTGCTAGTAAGTTTATCGTAAAAGTTGTAAATATTCCATCTATGCTTTATTATCATCCCTTCAGAGCAGAGAGAGACTATGGTCTACCACAACAGTGCTTACTATTGCAAAATACTCAGGACTCATCATGGCCTGGGAATTTTCATATCTCTCTCCTTCCAGTCTAGGTCCTCGACAGCAACTCTCATTAAAAAAAAAAAAAACAAACCAACCAACAAACCCAACAACCATTAAAGATTTTACAAGAGCTGTGAGAAGCATTAGTAAATCAGTGGAACTTTGAGTTATTGGGTTATGTAGAGTAATCATCCAGTCTCAGAAGTTCTTGTGATTTTATCTGTGGCATGGAACATTATTGAATTGTTATAATTATCCCAAATGTATGAAAATATAGTCCACTTTTGTAAGTTCAAGTGGCTGATATTAATAACAGACTTCATAAACTACAAGTTAGATAATTCCTTTCACATTTAAGTTGCAGAAGACATAACTTCTGAGTAATATTTTTAAGTAGGGCTCTTACTTGTCTCCAGAGCCAGTGCAACTATAATTACATTCACTTTGCCATGGGGTCTGTTTTCAGTGTTTATCACACATGAAATGGCTTCAGCAGACTAATTCTAAAAATGCTGGTTAAATACCAAAAATATGAAGGGTTTCACAGCTATATACTTAAAACATTTCATTTTCTGTAGTATAATTGTGTTATTGACAATGTTGGTCTTGCACACAACTGAATGTACACTTGTTTACTGTTTTAAAAAATACTGTTAAAATTCAAGTATGCGTATCATTCCAGTCAACCAAAGCTGTGGCATAACTTTTTTTTATGTGCTCCTAAATAAAAACAAGGTCACTGGCAACTTCTCTCCATTCTGTTTTCCTTTAAGAGTATATGTGAAGTATAGTAAGTAGTTTACTCAGTAGTCATAGTGGAAAACAATTTACAAATAAGCCATTAATATACAAATAAACCAAAATTTCTCTTGGCAGTGAAGGACATGACTTATAAGAAATGAGGTTTTATCATTTTATACTGAAATCACTCCTCAAAAAGGTAAATGGTAGTCACACATTCTGCAGTGCTTCCTTATGTTCCAAAATGGTAACATTAAATACAGAACCATTGTGAGTGCTGTTCTGTTTCCTACTAGTGCTCTGGCAATAGGGCAGAATGTGGGCTGTACTGAGCTGATTTGAACCTATTTTTAGTCCAATTTCTTTATGCAATTGGACTCTCTCTCACAGTAAACTTTTTGAACTATACAGCCTATTCCAAACAGATTTAACAGAGGTCAAAGAATAAATTCACCGAAAATCAATGGTTGAATATGACCGTAACACCCAAAATACCCACACCTTGGCACATCATTTAAGTAAACATGTAGCATTTCCTTCAAAAATGAAGCATCATTACCAAACAGACCAAAACAAAAAAGTTTGTAAAAACTCCTAAAATTTTTTTAAATCTTGTTTTATGTTTCTTTATTATAAGACATAAATTTGCGTTCTCTATATAATTATACTAGCAAGTAAAATTTTTTAAGAGAAAGCAGATGTGCTTTCTTCGTTCAATTTTGTAGGCATCCATATAAACAAGCCTAGGGAGGTATGTGTACAAAAATTAATGATTATACACTGATCAATAGCATCAAAACCAGCAGAGTTCGAAGGAAGATACCAGAAGAGATATAACAAAGACTTTTAATAGCCATTTCAATGCAATAGACTGTTCAAGTGGCAGAATGTAGAACTGTTTTCTGTCATCTAACACAGATGGAATCATAATGTTCTTTTTTTTTTCCCTGTATTTTTTTCTTTATCAGTTTACAGTAATTATATTGTTGATAGAGCTATAAGTAACTTGCTAAATAAAAAATTGCAAAAACATTTCCAAAAAGTCAGTTCTGGAAGATGGTGGAAGAGAAGAAGGGTGCTTTCTAGTAGTTGTTTATATTTCTTTTATTTTTCTTTTTAAACAGTGGTTTTATTTTTCTTGGTTTTGTGGAGAGGACAAATTTAATTAAGTATTTTCAAATACTAATTTATTGTCTCCCTCACTTAGCCCTTAAAAACAACCATTTTCTGCTCTGAAATATAAAAACTGGTACAATAACAAAGGAGTCCAGAGTGTATTACTATGGAAAACAGATGCCAAATAAAAAAATAAACCAAACTTCTTATCTATAAACAAAGCAATAAACCCCACCATACTCTAGACCACATACTGTATTATCTCCATTGGCTTTCTAACTATTCATTTTTAAATGTAACAATCCTGTGGTCTAATCGAATACAGTGCCATTAAGAATAACAAAGACTCAGTATTCCAGCTCTGAAGTTCCCTGCAAAATAGCTAGCTGGAGGTCTGGTTCAGCCTTGAAAGGATGTGCAGTTCTGTCTCTGATCCCTGTTTCTTCTTCAGTGAACAAACTGAAGTACAATACAAGATGAAAGCCCCACAAATCATCTGTACTTTGGAGACAAATTCTATTTGCAGTTCACACTGTAGAAAAATCTTAGAAGAGATCCAAGTGTGTATGAGTGGCATCAAATGTGGGCCTTTGAGGAGGAGGAGGATGCACTAAATACAGAGAACATCCATATCATAATGGATCCACACAGAAGCTAGTGTGGAAAAGACCTTACAAGAAGCTTAAAGTCTTTGCATTGATACAAACCCAGTTCTAAGATGTACTTGCTTAAAAAAAAAAAAAAGAAGAAGAAAAAGAAATAGAATGGATGAAAAACAGTTTGTCATCACACCACATAATGTATGAATGTATTATGCAGAAATAGAGATTTCTAAGAATTACAAATTTTCATGTGATCTGCTACTAAGGAAAGAATCAGCTTTCTGAAATAACTCTGAACAGGACTAGAAATAATTTTTTGTCTTTTTCCAAGCTTTACTGAGATTAATGTGTATTTTTCTATCACAAAGTTGCTAGAAATGAGGAACTTTTATGCGGAAATTATGATGTCTAGTGATGTATTCTCTTTAAAAAAGAGTTAGCCTAATTTGGTCATAATTGCCCTGATCTAAACAGGATTGTGTGGTTGGCAGGTTCTAGTGAGAAATTCTTTGGTTTTAATCAAGTGATAAATGAGAAGTGCAGGAAAGGAAACTCGTATTTTACATGGGTATCTCAAGATTAGCCTGAAAGGGAGGTATATTAGGCTATTTTTGCCTAGATGCATCTTTATCCTACATGTTTTTGAGAAATCCACTTTTTGTGCAGCATTCTTGATCTATATAACCTCATGTCCAAGTAGAATGGAAATACCACCAAAGCCATTTTCTGATGCACCACACATACAGATCTCCATTCTATTCAGTAAAAGGGACAAAAGTCACTAGCAAGGGAAAACATGGTAATTGAGTGATGTGCATTTTTTACCAGATAAAGAATTCTCCTAATACAATTGCAATTATTTTTGCTTCCAACAAAGCCTATTTGGTCTGGGTGCACATGTCTCACTAAATCTCCTGTTCTAATAAGTCTCTCCAGAAAAGAGAATAACTGCTCCTTTCATAAAATTATTATTTATTGTATACTAATATAAATACTAAAACTCTTGTGAATCTTTTAAAATCTGTGTATAAGTCCATTTGGATCTCCTGTCTTATTCGTCTTCAGATTCTTGATAACTTTTTAATTCCTCTTTTGGGTGAGGGCTGGGAATATATTTAGACTTAAAACATAATATCTAAAGCCTCCATAAGTTATTTTAAAAGACTACTCTGGGAAATATTTTTAATTATTTATGAATCTTAACTAAGAGTCTATAGTCATTTTTAAAAAGCACTTGCCCAGTAAATGTGGAGTTACAAATTATTGAGATCTGCAAAGGAGAAAATCAAACCAAAATAATTCAAAAGACTGAAATGCCATTGTATTTGAAATAGAAAAAAAAAGTAAAAGCTTGGAGATTTCTGCCTTTTCTAGGTTAAGTATTAGTTATGGGCCCCACAATTTAAGAAGGATGTTCAGGTACTTGAATGCATCCAGAGGAGGGCGACCAAGCTGGTGGCAGGGCTGGAAGGCATGTCCTGTGAGGAGCGGCTGAGGACTTAGGTTGTCTAGTTTGGAGAAAAGGAGGCTGAGGGGTGGCCTCATTGCTCTCTGCATCTTCCTGAGGAGGGGAAGTGGAGAGGGACATGCTGATCTCTTCTCCTTGGTATCCAGTGACAGGGTGTCTAGGAATGGCTCAAAGCTGCACCAGGGGAGGTTCAGACTTGGCATTAGGAAGCATTTCTTTACCAAGAGGTGGTCAAACACTGCATCAGGCTTCCTAGAGAGGTCGATGCCCCAAGCCTGTCAGTGTTGAATAGGCATTTGGACAATGCCCTTAATAATAAGCTTAAACTTTTGGTCAGCCCTGAAGTGGTCAGGCAGTTGGACTAGATGGTCGTTGTAGGTCCCTTCCAACTGAAATCTATTCTATTTTATTCTATTCTATTCTAAATTCCCATACACTTTGACCTCAACACGTGCTATGCATTCAATCTACAAACATTAAGATTAAACAAGGATCATACGAAAACAGAATAATTCAGGCTGGAAAGAGCTTTGGGAGGTCTCTAGTCCAAGCTCTTGCTCAAATCAGGGTCATCTGTGAGATCAGACCAGGTCACCTAGGACTTCATCCAGTTTGGGCTTGAGAACCTTGAAGGATGGAGACTGCGCCACCTCTGTGAGCAACCTGGTCTGATCATGTACATGTCTTCATCATTTCTCTTGCTTATTTAATAGATTTACATTTTGATTTTGATAAACGTTCTTAGGTTCACTTAACAGACCTAAATCAATGTTAGCAAGTACTTCCTGTTGCCTTCTCCTATACATGTGCATACTAAAAGCATCATTTGTCTAAGACCAGTCTGAAACTTCACTTCCCTTTCCCAGTAACTTAAATCTTATAGCGTAGAACAGAATGCATCTTTTCATGTTGGTTGGTTCTATTTATTGCTTCAAGATGGTCTGAATCAGAGTTGGTACTAACTGAACATCTGCAAAACACACAAAGCTCTAACCCATCACCTTTTTCACATTCTTTTCTGTGCTTACTGCCTCCATCTGGACACAAATTCAGCCTTGCTTAAGTAGCCATAATTCTTATGGAAAATAGCTTGATTAAGCAAAAAGTGAATTTGGCCCAAGAAGTAAATTAAGGGATACTCTTTGCACTCACTAAAATTAATTTTAACTTGCTATATAAAAAATAAAGGTGGGATTTGATTAAATGGTGTACTTAACACATTTTGTTTAGGTTTTAAGTAAATTTTCACTATAGTTTCTTTTAACTTAGCCAAATAGCCTTTTAAGATATGTTAAAAAATGACTAAGCTTTTGGTTTTGGATGGCAAAAGTTGCTAAGTTGTATGCCAATAGATAATATTTTTTTTGGACTTTTAATATAAAAATATTCCAGTTTTAATGATTTTTTTCAGTGTAAAAGTTATTTTACTACTTCAGCCATACCCTGCTCAGAATTGGTTTTCCCTTTCCTCCCTCCCCCCCAATAAATAATTTGTATTTTATCCTGCATGTGGTTATGGATTTCCAGCAAAATCCAGATTTTCAGAATAATGGCTACAATCCTTAATGAGGGGAAAAGAAACAGAATGTTTAATAAAAAATGTTTGTCTCATTAGGCTTTGGAATTAAATCCATGTCCACAAAAACAAAGAATTAAAAACACTGAGTAAATATTCTTTCAATTGTTCAGCTTTCAGCTCTTGTGATTTAATAACTTCTTTAATGCTCAAATCAGCATAGCAGTTTCCCATATACAAGCCTGGAATATATAAAAGCAAGGGGAAAAAAGTATTTTGATAAAAGCTAAGTATAATAAATAAGGAAGAACTTACAGGGAAGAAAAGAAATGGAGCCCCTTTTCTGTGTTTTTTTTTTACCTTTAATATTGTATTTACTTTTTTAAATTGAGTTATTGTCATTCTAATTGACTGTCATTGTTGCAGGAACCTACTGATGAGCACAGCCATCATAAGACGTAGGTACTTCATGTTCTGGTCAGGGTGATGATGCAGACAAAATGGTCTGTAACGGTCTGTGTTTCTCTCTGTGTTGAAGCAGCACTAAATAGTGTTAACCAGATCTTAAGTGGGGAAAACAAAGCCCAAGCACTTCAAAGTATCTTTGTTCTGCATGTAAAATCTTGGATGACTTTAAAAGCACTGCAAAAAATAGTGAAATACAGTACTCAGTCTTGGGAAAATCTTAATGACATTGCTTGTTGCATGGAAAATGCAGAACTTTGAAAATTATGGGGTTTTAGGAAGATCTAGGTTTATTTTCAAATATTTGGTGTGGAGTTCAGATACTATCCTTGGGAGACGTTCTCAGGATCAGCCTTTCTTTCAGTACCTAGAAATTTAACAGACAATTTTGCACCAGGTTAAGTCTGTCAGTGCGATAAATGTTATTAAATATTATAGTTTATTAAAAGTTAGAATACCTGATTTGTGGGGGGAAAACTGCTAATCTGTAAGGCATGTTTTATTTTAAACAGTTACTTAGACAGAACACATTATGATCACCCCCAAGCATCTGTCATCTCCTGAAGCCATTCACCACTGCTGCCCACCTGCCCTCCCATCAACCTTGAAAGTCCATCTCGGAGACTGACAACTCAGATGACAGCAAGGGGGGGAAGTTGGGGGAAAGTTGTGATATACTGACTCATGGGATTTTATAGCTTCATTTATACTGCAGGACAACATAGGAAGATAAGATTTCTGACAGGCTAAAACTAGTATTGCAGATGTCAACATGAACCAAAGGAGTCTGTGTCCTACATAAGCAACACAGAGCATCATAATGACTCTTAATTACACTCCAGATACGTTTTCTTACACTGCCACTTGACCAGATGTATTCTCCATGTTCTGTACTATATCTACTAATTTAGTTCTGTTAACTTGCAAAACCAAGTTTTGCAAAGCTAAAGAGACTGTAGTTAAAATTCCTTACAAAACCCTTGTTCTTTGTTCCTCTGTTGGTTGGTCTAACTGCAAATTTCCAAGAAATGCAAATTCCAGGTGCATCTGGGTGCATGAGCAGCTAGTCTGGCTAGTCTGGGTGCATGCCTAGTGCTGACACCCTTCTCTGCAATTCAAGACCAGATGACCTGCGGCCTTCTTGACCAGAGGGAGGCCAAAGCATGGCCTTTGTACAGAGGACATCTGTGTGTTCCCAAGGAGGGAAATAAACTTTAGCCATATATTTAAGAATGTGTCTTTCAAGACCCAGTTTTAGGAGAATAGGCTGGCTCAACTCCACGCCAGGGGTATTAGAAATATCAGCTGTGTGGTTCAGGTCCCAACAAACTATTACTGAGAGGGGAGAAAAACGGGGGACTGTGATGTTACACTTTCCCTTCCCCTTCATTTTTACTTACGAGGGGAGGGAAGTTAGGCAATTGTTTGCAAGGTTTGGTGCAGTAATAGCATCTTTGCTCAGTCTTTTGAGTAGTAAAACAAAGTAGGGAAATGATCTAACTGGTTGTTGGCAAAACCATTGTTAAATGTTTGTATCTAGTTGGTGTCCAAACTTGGTAGATGTGGAGAAGCCAGAGAGGTTATAGACGGAGATGGGCGCTATTTCAGTGAAGTCACCATGAGACGATTACTCGATCCCTCCTTACGGCTGTGTACAAAATGAAAAGGCATGTGAGACTAAGGCTTAGTAAGCCAGAGAGTATCAGAGTAGGTGGAATGGGCAGAAGACGCGGCCTGTGCCAGCAAGCCTCACGGCCTAGCGCTCCAGACCCGCCTCTGCAGGGGGAGATCCGGAAAGACATTTCAAGCCTCACGGCCCAGCTGACCGGCGGTCTCCGGCCCCGCCGCCAGCGCAGCCCTGGCCCCAGCCGCAGGAAGCCGCAGAGGTGCGCGGAGCCAGCAGGCCCCCGCCCCGCGCTGCCCTCCGAGGTGTCGCTCACCGCAGCGCGCTCGCCTCGGGGCCCGGCGCGGCCTGGCCCGCCCCAACCCTCACCGGGGCCTCGGCCTCCTCCGCGCAGACGCCAGCACGCGAGGGAACGGTTTTACAGACAGGAGGGAGGGCGGCAAAGAAGGGGACGAGGCGAGAGGGGGCCGGGGCGCCGGCCGGGCC